ATCTCTTTCTTTCAACCCCAGAAATTCATTTCCGTATCAAAGAATGGCTTTTCAATGTCCCAAATTTTATAACACAATGAATTTAATTTTCGAAATGAAGTCAAATAAGAGAAGAAAAAAATGAATACATTGTATTTTCTGTGCATAGTTAAGTTTAGCAACATTGTTGACGACAACAACGGCAACAATGTTGGTTGCGGTGATGATGAGACCTGAATATAACATGCATAAAACACTACTTCCATTGAAAATACTTGTAATTTACTTGTGTACCATTTGCATATGCATATTATCGCCTCAATTCACCAAGTGTTATGAAAGGTGCTAAAGAAAAAACACACACTGAAATGCCATCGTATCAAAGGCGTGAGAGAAATGGCTTGCTGTATTACGTGCTCGAAGCACAAACTCTCGCTTTGACCTGAATTTTCATAACATGTTCAATTTTCACGTTATGATTTGATTTGATGTTTACGTGGCGTTGAAAAAACCACCGCCCCATACAGAAGCACATTTTCTTCTTTTCTCGCATTCAAGGTAAATCAACTTTCGGCAACAATTTTTTTTTACCTCAATTTCCCAACACCTTTTCAATTCTTCACAAAACTACAAAAAATTTTTTGGTTGCAAAAAAAAACACCATTAAAATACCTTCATTTATAATCAATTAACTCCTGATTTGCATTTTAATGCAAATGAAATGTTTTATTTATCATCATTTTGTGTTGATAGTTTATTCAAATTAAATGAACTGGGCATGGCACGAAAAAACGAGATTTGCTGATGCAAACAAAAATAATTCAACGAATTTTCCGAATAATGAGACCATAGCATACAAAGAGTTTTCCGCATGTCCTCAGGCTTACAGTAAAGACGGGATTACTGGACTACCAATGGAATCTGCGTTGAAAATATGCAACAATCAAAACTGATAAATGTATAAAAGATGGCCTGTTGTCAAAGATCTCCTAATTATTCCCGTACCATTCACCTTTGAACGTGCATTTTCAATTGTAACTGCTGCCGTTTTACAATTGAATATATAATTTTCCATCCAACGGATATTTGGCATAAAATCAGTTTATGTGATAATCCGACTATATGGACGATGCATACCACACGACAGCTTATACAATGAAATTCGGATATGAATATGAATATTGAATATATTAATTACACCGAAAGGTTATAAATAAATAATCAAAGTGCTGTGAAGCAAAACCAAATTGGGAATGCTAATTTGATTTGTTTTATTCTCTCAGTCCATGCCTTTAATCGCCTTTTTTTAAATTTATTTATTGAAAACATCAATTAATATCAATTTATTTTATCCAGTGGAAAGAGGTGATTAATTTGCTTATTTAATTATGGACGAAAAAAAATTGACATGAAATTTGCGAAAAAATTGATGTAAAACATTTTTTAACCACATCGAATTCAACGTTGCTTATCGAATTGTGTTCAAATCAGTAAATGGGCTGGAAATCAAACATTGTATATCATACGCACGAGAAAAAAAATTGGAAGCTGATGAAAGAGATCATTTAATTAATCTGTGTCCCAAATCACGAATCAAATATAACTCTTTTATTGCGCCAATTTTTTCATCGACTGTGTCACCGTTGCAGTTGAGCTGCAATCAACAGCAATATTGCATTCGTTTAAATGTGTTTCACCTGGATACAATTTTGGAAAATCGTCTTTTTGCTGGCGCGATATGTAAATATATTAAAAATAAAATCAGAGATAGAGATAAAACGTCACAGTACAAACCAAAATATGATGATGAAATTTTCATGAGGTTCACCATTGCAATATGTACTAGGAAATTGAATGGTTCACAAGCGCAATGGTTCCATGATGTAAACAACATATTTGTTTCATGCAATTTTTGATTGCGTCGGCCGTCCACACTGTACCATACGAACAAGAACATTTACGACAATATTTTGTATGACACATACCACACACACATGTGTGTATATGTTACTTTGAAGCTGAAAATTCAATGTAATTTGTTTTCATGTTGTTGATATAAAAATTGAATTTAATATTTTTTTTATTTTTATTTTTATGCTTTCATCGTTGTTTTTGTCGCCGTTATTGTTGTCGTGATGTCCTTTCTCACGTGGTGAAGTGACACACTAAACTGGTTCGTATGCGATCCCTTTAGGGCAGCGAACAGAAAATGGTTTGCCGTTCTTATTGGCAGCCAATGGCAGGTGTGTTTCAACATAAATATATAAAGAAGTTGAGTTTTGTTTTTTTTTATGTCGGAAGAAACATGCAATAATAAAATGTAATGTTCGAAATAAAACTACTTATTGTACAGGTTTATGCAATTGGACCGTACCGTCATCTGGCAAACAAATCCAATCAAATTTCATATTAAAAGTAAATAACTTATGTGACGTCATCATGAAGAAATTTGCATTGTACACACAAATCGAATATGGTGAACATGTGGTGTTTTTAGTATAATTTGTACACCGAGTAAAACGGGGAAAATTACATGGAACAAAAAATCTTTTTCATGTATGGAACGTGTACAAACATAATATGCGTGGAAATGACAAAATTAGACTGCGATCCATTTAAGTCATTTCTATTTAAAGAATCGCATAAAATCTGAATGGCGATGAATTTGTATGTAAAACAAATTCAAGGCCATACATTGTATTTTTTTCTGACTGCTATCGCTACTTTGGAGCGTAAGTAGTGATGAGGCTTCCTATTTCTCGAAATTCCACTTATTTGACGTCACCTTGCTGCTCACATGGCATCTCATCCTTATTTCAAGGTATAGCTTATAGCTACTCAAAAATTCTTTTATCTATGCGCTCAGAAACCCGAAGTATAGTTTGAATATAAACCGAAAAAAAAAACTAAAGCGCATAGAGAAAACATTGCAAACGGTACACGCTTTGCCAAAGAAACGAAGTCGACCATCGAGCAATATTAAAAGGGAAGACAGAAAGGACAAAAGAACAACCGAACAAAATAAATCCATTGACAGTAACAAAGGAGAATTTATATCGATTCCATCGTCATTTCATACGTACATTATACGGTTTCGCTTCTGTGAAATCATAATCATCACAATGCCACTGTCTTGGATTTGAAGTATTTGTTGACGAAAAAATATGGGACTGTTTAAGGGCGAACTCATGTTTGCATCGAAAATGAGGGGGATAGCTGGTGTGCAGAGTATGTATATATTCATATAATATGTATAAATTCCTTTGAAAAATGAAACTAATAAAATCGCGAACACGAAAAAAAAGAGAAATGGAAATAAAATTGGTTGCGGAAAAAGTTCAATTCGAAATTCGTTTGGTATCGTTGGTTCGTGCACATTGCATAAGTCAACACACCCGTTATCGTCGTTGTCTTTACATCTTTACCTAGGACACGTTAAAATTAAACTTGTAATAGAGTCACCCGAATTTGTACAAATACACACACACACTCATACATACGTACATTGAACACAGCATGTAGTATGTTTCGTGACCTAAATAGGTTAAGTCATTGGTAGTGTAGACGAGTTTGATTATTGTCTCACGCATCGTTGAGCTCTCGTTTGCACCCCGAATAAAATAGTAGCGATTTTTCGCAACCATTCTTCCGTTCAAATACTGTGTGTTTCGCATTTCATCGCATTTATGAACGAATAATAAAAAAATGCTCTTTATTATTTGCTGTTCCATAATAATTTTCAATGTATTTTGTCATCACACCATGTTTCTTTGTTTTGATCCGTCCCATCCTCCACCTTCTCCTCATTTTCAAAACATTCATTGCCATCCGCTGTTTCTGTATCTCTTCCCTTCATCTATTGCCATCGCCCTTACCACGTTCAAAATGTTCAGTCGAGCCAAAAGTTGGCAATAAATTGTTCACTTCGATATTACGTGCTTTTCAAAATCGGCCGAACATGAGTGCGCTCACCATACGCGTTGATAATCATGTAAGCATCGCACATATTCTTTCCTTCCATATTTGTGCGTCGTTGTTGTTTTCAACACTCATTTATTATTTTGTTTTTGTATGTATGTATAATATATTGTATGTTGAATTGGCCAATGAGTTTTCTCGCGCCATGCTCAAATATTAAGGATTGTCGAGGATTTTCTACATACATTTTATAAATAAATACTTTGTTATGATGTATTGAACCGTGGCTATGTGCGGTATTGGTTGAATGCTTAAGCTTTTCTCTGGTTTGTTGTTTTTCTGTTGAATTTCCATGGATTTCTCGCGCTGTTTATCGCTTGAGATAGAAAAACGACACTGACAAAAGGAACAAAACAAACAAGCGAAAACAATAAAGACAGCGTTCAACGAAGTATGGAAATAGGGGGGAGTGTGTGGGAGGGGAGAAAACTATGTCTTCTCCATCGACGGAAAATGATGAAAAACAATGCGATTAGAATTGCGAATGAAATGATTGTCATGCACCAAGTGACAAATACAAAAAAAACGCCCCAAATACACTTGCAAATGAGCTAAACTCCTTGTCACTTACCATCGACACCATCTGTTGAATTCACGAACATAGTGCGAGCGGAAAAATGAAAGAATGTATGAGAACGAACGACCAAAAATGTAAAAGAGTACATATGCGACACAAAAAGACGCACAAAAAGATAGAGAAAAAAAGACCAGCCAAATCACATCGTACAAATAGCAAACACACGTAGCACATAAACTTTGACCGTTTGCCATTTTGTAATATCGCATCGATAGCAGACCAATGCTGACAGGAACCAGCAAAATCAGCAACAACAAGATTGTAAAAATGTCAATTTTGATGATAAATTCACACATGTGCGAATCTCATTTTCGAATTGTTATTAAAAGATTTCCTGTTTTATAGCCATTATACTGTTTTTTCCTTCTGCAATATAATACATCGTTTTTTCCCCATTTTTTTCTCTCTTTTCATGTACATTGTTCCTGTTGCCTATTGACTTTCGGAACATACGACGACTCTACAGATACGAACCACTTACAATTCAACACGGCACAAATCAACAGTATTAGAGGACGATCCAGATGCTTTGACACTCTTATCAGTCGTATCAATCGGTAATAAAGTTCACATGTTATATCTATAGATTTAGAGATGTCAGGGTATAGGGTAGTTGTTTGTGTTTCATTTGAGAGCGCATTGTATCCAAAAAAAAATGTATGTTCGACGAGTATGAATACGTATTGATTTTTTTTATTTCCTTGTGGATGGTGTGACTCGGGTATTATTTTTTTATCAGTTTATGTCAAATATATAGGCAAACTGAAGGCGTTAGTGTGCAAAATACGCGAAATGAGTGAGCCTGAGCAAGTATGAGTGCGTATGTTGCCAGGTATAGAGGACGACGTTGATCACGAGTATTGTGAGAATGAAAAAAAAATAACGAGTCGGAAGCGAATTCTGAATAGGAAGAAGCAGAAATAAATTGTGACGAACGTATGGAGCGTGTTTTGTTCTGTTGTATTTTGTATAGATTATGACGAAGGCACGCGATATAAAACGATGTGTTGTTTTCATCCGATGCAAAGGGAACGAGCATTGGGAAAACGAAAGGGACAAATGATTTCGAAAATCTTTTTTCAATAAATCAATATTAATCTCTTTCACTGTCATTCAGGGCCCATTTCGCAAAGTGTATAGGTGATTTCGAATGGGATCGACTGCGACAACGAGACGACACTGTGCCATTTTACCGTCGTGCACATCTTATTCATTTTCTCTCATTCGTCCGATTTATGAGCTTTTACATTCACACACAGAGACACAAGCAAACACAGGCACAGAGTCTTTGTGCATTGAATAGACGGTAATTGCGCACCGTTTTACGTGACATTCGTCTTTCGTGTTGTTGAGATGGGCTCTCTCGTGTGCTAATTATTTCTTAATTCCTTAATGATGTTTTACATTGGAACGCACAAGCTACGGATCTATTTACACAAAACGGATCTATTTACAGAAAACGAACGTGCAATAAAGCACAGTTATTACAAAATTTAATCTATATCAATTATGATTGCTCTGAAGAGCATGTATACATACCAATCGATTTCTCACTCTCATCCCCCGTCACCGATCTAAATGATTTTATTGTTGATTATAAATATTTTATCGTTTTCATACTCATTTCCTTTTTCGTTCATTTTCACATCGCTGTTCCATTCATGCGTTTAATGACATTTTGCATAGTGCCCCACTGAACGGAAGTCGTCGTTGGAAAGAGGCAAAAAAACAGTATTCGCAAGCATTCTACAGCACGCTCGAGACCATTCGTTTCATATACATTCATTCAGATATGTTGTCATCTATTTATGTGCGCTATATTTTCTTTCAATTTTCCCCACCGTATAGAGTGAAATTAAACTCGAAATATTTCTATGACATAAAAAAATTATGATATCTCTTTTTTGCATTCGAAAGAAGACAAACAAAGTCGTGTAGCAGAAATACCCGGGAAACATGATGTTTTGACTTTGTGTATATTTCTGTTGGTTTATAGATGAAGAGAACACGCAAATTATTCAAAATTGAAATACAGAACATGATATCTCCGCCAACTTTTTTGATCGTTGTGACATATAATCAACTTTGACAAAGGAACGTAGGGCATAATGCACACAGAACGATATTGTGTTTAACTAGTTTTGACGTTAATCGGAAAGCAGGGGGAATGGCACGTTTCCACAACTTTTTCACTTTAAGATCATGTTTAAGTTGTACGTGAAGAACATGTATGTGTGCATGTTGCACAAAATACCAAAACAAATCTGGTTTGACTGGTTTGGTTAGATGAATGTATACACAGTGGGAGTGTTCTGCGAACTACATATACATGGAAATGTTTCTGAGTCAAATACAATCAATATTTTGCAAAAAGTTGGAAAATCGAAAAACGGAAAAGTGAACATGATTCAATATACATGCACTCGTGGCTCCGTGCAAAAACTTTGTCTCTCACGCCACACAAAGATATTTATTTTCATTTTATATCTTTCTCTCTCTTCACATTTATTCTTGCAAAAACCGAAACAGAGCAAGAAAAATTACTTTGGACGTGGATTTCAATTTTCCGTTAAAAAGAATTGCTGAAACTCTCGGCTCACGATTTTTAATGTAAAGTTTTCGATCAAACGAACGGGATAAATCACGAAACTTTTGTTCTTCGAGTGGCACAAATTCGATTTCGATCACATTTATTTTCGTGGCTTTCATTCTTCTTTCTACGTTAGTCTCCCATCTACTTTTTCTTCTGGCTAAAAAGCTTGAAACCATTTATATTGGGTCTGCTTTTTTTTCTCTCACTGCTTTATGTATGGTAATTCCATTCCCATAATCAAATCAACATTTCAACAATACACAACAATTGAGAATGAGCGATAATCTGCATTGGCACGTGAGTGAAAGTGGGAAATGGAAAAATTTAAAAGATTTGCCACATTTAGCAACTTTATGTTGAAGAAGTTACAATAACAAATATTCGGTGCTTCCGATTTCCATTTCTCCCTTTTTCGATGGGTTAAGTGGATTTTCCCACAGACCAATTCTGTCGCATTTGTTGATTTAAACACCGAATAATGAAGTAGTTTGCTACGGTGCGTGTCCACAGCTAGGTCCACAGTATTCCAATTCGTTTCGATGCTCAAAAATCTCCGTTGCTTTAATTAAATATTCAAAAGATCCGTTTGAAATGTAAATGTCATTAAATTCATGGACGAAAAAGCATTTGATCAGACAGTTTAAACAAAATGCCCATTCTACATTGGGATGACCAAGAATATAAACCGCTAAACCGAATGCAAAATACTCGATGTAAATAACGCCATTTGACGGAAAATAAAGGCACCATTCATCTAAAGGGGTTTTCGTATGTCCCCGACAATTTTCAATAAGAATTTCTGACAAACAAAAATGCAAATCTTCACCCCAATTAAATTAAAAAATGTTACCAACCATGAAATCAAATTACGTACACATCCAGTGCATATCACACAGCCGAAAGAGTGAAAGAGGTTTTTATTTGTGTTATTTTCATTGGTGACTACAACAACGACAAATCATTCCAAGTTCGTATTAGTTTGCGAATTGCCATTGCCGTTGTTTTGTGTGTATAAATAAACTCTCATTTTCTTTAGCTATTTGCTAAATGCCAAAACACACAATCATTGCTTGGTGAGGAATAGACAGACAGAGAGAAAGGGATTTTCTGATGATGCCATCGAGTAGCGTTCGTAATCCAAACGCTTGACTGCAAATCAAGGACTCGGATTAAAAACACCATGTTTTTCAGTTCTTGTTTATATTTTTTTATTTTTGTTTTTTTTTTGTTCATCTTTTTCTCTTGTTTCTTGAGGCCATTGCTTGATGTTGATTTGAACATTCGGTGAAGATTTGATTGTGCTTACCTTGGATTTGTGTCGTTGATTGTTTATCTTTTGTGCACAATTTTGTGTTTTTCTTTTACGATATTTTGGACCCGTTCGCTGTACATTGCTGTATGCCTTTGTGTGTGTCGTGTTCAGTGTGAGTTTGAGTGTATTAAATCGCAAGTTAAGTTATTTGAGTATAATTTATCAAATAAATGAGTTCGAAAGATTTCGAGACAGGTTTTTCTGGTGTAAATATTTTGTTCGCGTTGAGATAGCACGATGAACAAGCAATTTCATGTTTGCATTCACTTTTTGTATGTTGAAATATTTCGTTTGTATAGTTAAAAGACTGTCGTTACCCCGTCACCATCACCATCACCGTCATCGTTGATGCGATGAAAAGGATACGGGTGGAAAGTTAATGGGAATACGGTGTGCGAATTGAATGGCGCAATTTCACCGGAATGTACATTGTATATACATGTATATAAATATATAGTCTGTGTACCTAATTGCTTGCTGTTGAATGCGCATTCTAAGAGAGATTTAATTAAAATATGTGAGAGTCAATGACTATGATTACCCTACCGACCGGATAAATATTTACCAATTGAATATTTTAATGAATGTTATTTTGGCGTTGTCGAACGAATGAATAAACGCGCACACACACCTGCGTTGTTTCCATCATATTTTTTTTCAACAGTTTTATGCCATTCGAATTTGCACCAACCGGGGGCGACTCACACGTCGAAATCAATTTTAATGACTGCCTTTTGAGTTTATGATAATGCTCGGCTTGCTATGTCCAATTGTTGTAAGAAGACATTTAATTATTTCCAAATTGAAATGGAATGGATGACGAAAGCAATAAGAACAGCGGCGACGGCAACACCACGGAGATTTCTTTATTTGGTTGAGTGAATTGACTCTGAATCAAAGTCACCCTCCCACGTTCAATTCAATTTATAAGCAAAATCCCTTGGGATTTGGCGATGTGACGGTCTCCTTTTATTGTTATACGGGAATTTATGGAAACAATAATACTCGTATCAAGCTTAAACATCGGCCGGAAATCCTTATTAAAAATCATTTTCTGACGAAAACAAAACGAAACCTACAGAAGAGTATAGTTTGCACACCAAATAATTACATTGAGTGTAATTTACGCTTCAAGCGTTTTCAATATCAAAATGTGAATGTGGGTTTCATGAAACAATTTCGATGTATTGCACACTCTACAGAACGATATTAATTAATTGTTTCGAATCAGTTGTTAAAAATTGTTGCTTTTATAAAAGCGTATTGATTGGCCATTTGTTTCTCAGATTGCATTTTATGTGCATGGTGATGGTGATGGCGAGTGATGACGAGAATCGGTTGGTAATATGCTGTGAGTGATTGGGTGCAATCAATAAAACATAATTGAAAATTTATCGATTGAGGTAGGTGATTTTAATTGAGTTTCCACCTCTTTGAACTTACCAGGTGCTAATTTGGAAAATTGCACCGATTTTTTGTGTATGTGCATTTTGGGCTAATGTGATTGAAGTAGTGAGTTGGTGATTGAACAAAAAAGAAAGGAAATAGAGGGGGATGGGAGAGAGATCTATGTGCAATATGCATAGAATTGTATATTTCAAAAATTGTCTATTTGTATCTTACAAAGAAATGTTTTCAAAATTCTTTGTCATTCTAATTCTGTTTTTTTTTCTCCAATTCTCATTTTTCAGGCGTGTTTTTGTCTCTTTTAATATTTTTATCCATAGCTGGAAATATTTTAGTATGCTTAGCTATATACACAGAACGAAGTTTACGTCGAATTGGAAATTTATTTTTAGCATCGTTAGCCATTGCGGATTTATTTGTGGCGTCGCTTGTGATGACTTTCGCTGGAGTAAATGATATATTAGGTACGTATTCGCATCAATATCGTTGACAACATAGAAATATTTCGAAATATTTGTTGTATATTTTACAGTATGTTTCATTATAGAGAGAGGTTGATTTTTTATAATAAAACTCAAGAGTTTTACAAAATTATTTTATATACATTCTATTTAGTATCTAAGCTACGGCGCCACAAATTAATATTTAATCCATTCTCCTGCCTTCTCGATCACACAGGCACATCTATTCGGCATACTTTTGCTCAAATTTTCAGCATATTCGCTTTGAAAACCTTTCCACTGGCGCTGAATGAATGAACTGAGCTGCTTCAAATTGCGGTATGTTTTACCACGAAGCCATGCCTTAATAATAGCCCAAAAATTTTCGTTCGGATTGCAATCGGGTGACTCTGGCGGCCAGTCCATTTGTTTAATGTCATTTTCCTCTTTCCAAGCATTGCATAGACGACTTTTGTGTTTTGGATCGTTGTCTTCTAATAGAAGCCAATTCGAATTGTGGTTGCCATAGAACTTCTTGGCGATGGGTAACTGTGTCGATGAATAATGTTGGTTCATCCTCACGGC